GGGAAAGTGACCCGGCAGAATCCCATTCTCCTCCCTTTCCTCCTCGTTCCTACCTGGAAGTAACAGATAAGGCATTTTCAGCAAAAACAGACAGGATCACCATGGAGCCAACAGATCACCCTCCCAAATCCAACCAGCAGTGCTGTGCAAAGAGACGGCACTCCCAGTTACTGCACTACCATCCTGCTCAGTGGCAACCTCTCCCCAACAGGAACGGCAGGCGGGGCACCCTCTCCCCAACAGGAACGGCAGCCGTAGGTCCAATGTGGCAAATCTTACTCTTCAGTTACACGTTTTCTAACCAGTGAATGGTCCCATTCACTACACGTCATAACCCATTGCAAAATAATCTATTTGCTGATCGATAGTATCAATACTTACAGGTTTGAAAGGGCTTAAACCCTCTAGGCAAAAGCATAAGGCCCTTTTCATAATATAGAAATATAAATGACACTTTGATAAGCACAGTATCAAGAACAGAACACAAAATGCACACAAAATTCATCAGGTTTAAAGTCTCAAGTAATTTTGGTATTTCACAGCAACTTGGTCTTTGCACACATACATAGAAGGAGCAACTCATGAGACTGTGGAGTGGCATTCGCAGCTGCAACACCATTTAAGCCAGTCACTTCAATACCTATGGACTACTAAGGTGAAGTCTGTTAAACCAAAACTGTTTCCTGCCAGTTCTCTTCATGCTGCTGCAAGAGGCATTATCTCGGTGTCAGCTACGTACAGGAGTGATACTACATCAGCGCTTCACGCTCCCTGTTTGTACCCAAGGTCACTATTCTGAATTACATACCTGAGGCTCAAAGACTGCCCTGCTCAAATCCTAGTGACTACAAACTCTTGGGGAAGCAGGGGGGAAGCTCACAGGTCTCTCTAGAAGGTGGGGTTTGTTTTGATTGGGGGAGGTAGTCTTCCAAAACAAATCCTTCTGCATTTATCTCAGCTGGCTTTTGAATTCCAAGTTGGCCCAAAACCCTCCATCCTCCCAACCCCAATACTACTTTGAAGCAACACTATGGATGCCAAGAGCCCAGAATACTGAGACAAGGGTAAAAGCCTCAACAAATGTTAAAGAGAGACTTGAAGACAGGAGCTTGGATTTGTGTTATGAGTGCATTAACTGCAACCTGGAGTAGCTCTAGCCATTTTCTTAACATTTTAGGTTAAAAAATTCCAGAGGCAGAAGACTCTAAGAGCAGGATGATAATTCCTCAATACTTTATTACGGCCTTTAGTTTACATACCACTGCTCTGTCAGCTTGTCCAACAGACCATGTACAACATCAGAGAAGAGAGAAACACGCTGGCTAGAAGCGTGATAGACTCTCCAGACAGCATTAATGAAGGTTCTACTTCACAATGCAATCAGAATAAGTCTAACAGCCAACCTATACAGGCTGTCAAAGTGAAATGAGACCATCCTTCCAGTAGAGATGTTTTACTCCCAGCACTTCTTTATGCACAGACATCCACAGAAGGGACTGACCAAGGAGTGAAGAAAAGTGAAGAGCTCCAAAGCCCAGGAAAGTTCAAAAAGGCTTATTTTGCATCTAAAAACTCATTTAATTCCAGAAGTTCAAGTGCAAGTGGACTTCTGACTAATATTAATCAAACACACCACCAATTTGCCATGCAAACATTTTAATTGTTTAAAATCGCTCTCTTCCAAGCATGAAGAGACAGAAGTATGGTGCACTCCATGGTGGTATCTCCTATGACAGTGACAAAGGACCACCTGCTTATAACTTAAATAATAAATTCCTGTTTTATATGACTGAGGCTGAATACCCACAGGATATTATTAACATTTCCCCTCCAGCATCTGGTCTAATAAAGAAACACAGAACAGCTTTGCTGTAGTACAAAAGTTTACAGAAAGTTTGACAATTTAATTAAAGACAATACAAAATATGCTGTCTGAATTCAAATAATTTATGTAAAAGTACATGAATGAGAAAATATTGGCAAACAGATTTGGGTAACCATATTATCAGATGTATGTTCTTTGTCCCTAGAGATAACATACGATCAAAAATACATTTATATGTTAAGTTACAATAAAAGACAACATTTTAAAATAAACACAATTTCAGGTCTACCAGCCCTTTAATGTGAAAAATTCCTGTTAACACACGGCAAATTGATAGAATTTTAAAAAATTGAGCAATACTGAAGTCTCTGATTAAGCATGTAGTGTTTGCTTTTCTTTTTATTGAGGAGAGAGAAGACAACAGAAAACAAACAGGAGTCTTTTCTTAGTGCTCTGTCTTCTCAGTTAGGCATTTTAAAAGGTGTGATCAGAGCATCAGGGATTACTTTCATCCATATACCCCAGAAAAACCCACCCTCCTTGTGAGGAGACAGGGTACAGATGAGGCACAGATCTTCCCTTCCACAAGCAGCAGTACCACACCCCCACAAGAGGGGATCCTGCAGGCAAAGCAAGGTACCCCTCAAGTACTCAGGGTGGCAACTTAGCCCCAACAACCACTTTCAGCCTCTAGCAGAGCCACTATTCCTCTCAAATCACAAATTATTTCTTCACGTTTGTCCAATATTGGAAGTCACTTTTCTTGATTACAGTATCAGACAACAGCCTGAAACACCCAAGATTTCTTACCATGTGTCACTTGCCCTCCACATTTTTGTGGTCAGCTAAATAGTTTAACAAGACAACACATGATTAATTTCTCCGAAGATATTTTAGTTCATTAATTCTCAACAAAAGCATTGGTTGCGGTACAGCAATTTGACGTACAGCAACAGAACATACTCAATTTACATGCACAAGCTATTCAATAGTAGTACACGGTCCTTCTATTGCCATTATAAAATGAATGCTACTATGACAGCTGACACACTCTTCCCATTGTCCTCATGAGCTCTAAAAAGTGATTGTGAAAACAGTGTTCCAGTTGATATGACAGCAAAGAACAGAGGTTTCACCACTACTGGAAGGTTCCAATGAAGATGCCAGTATCATAATGGGAAACAGTGTTGGAATTACTGTAAAAACAGTTACAAAACATCCCATTGTTTTGATGTGTACTGCCGAAGTACCGTAAACCAGCAGGAATCCGTTGGGGAATGACTGCAAAATTTTTCTAGCAGAATTGTTTTTTTTGGAGGGGATGAGGGGTGTTGGTTGGAGCTTTTTTTGTTGTTTGGTGGTTGTTTTTTTTAATAAAGCTTCCAACTCTGAAAATGCAAGCCAAAACCCCTCTGCATTTGTGTTCTATGCCTGGCTGAGATTTCTTTCAATTTTACAGTTTGGACCAGATTCTCATGGTTTAATGTACAAAATACAGTACATGCTACTAGGACTACTCACTGCAAGTTTTCAAAGATTACTTTTCAAAAAAACAGCTACAACACTGTCACCATCATTAAAGATTGATGTAAAAATTTCAGGGCTGCTGTTAAAGGGCTTCTAGAAATGAGAAGTCAGATACATGACCAAGAAATAAGCCATGAGCTCTGTAAAACGGACACACGTTACAATAAGATTTTTCCTACAGCAAGAAAAGTCATCAGGGGACTTAATTTTTTTTTTTAAAAAACATTTCTTTCCAGGTTTCAGAAGTAGCAATTCCAGCAGTAAACTTTCAAAGTGCTCTGCCTGTGCCTCTCTTTTTAACGTCTTTTCTGAATGGTATCCGAACAGGTAAGAAACCCTCTCCTCTAATCAACAGTTATCAGTTTAGCATTATGCTATTGGCAAGTCAGATCCTGAAATATGAATAGTCAATAGCTGTAATCGATTTATTCATGACCATGTAAAAAAGCACAGCTGCATGTGACTGCACTGTCAGATCTATAATACATCAAGTAAGACTGCAAAAATAAAAGGCAAAAAAGGAAAAAGGCCTCACGTCTCCTTTTTTTTGTTGTTTGGGTTCTTTTTACTGATTGTCTCACAGCAAAAAAAAAAAAGTAGCAAAGGCTTAATCTTAAATACAAAGTTATAATGTGCAAATCAGGTCCTCTAATCCAGACTGATGGTACTCTTCATTGTTTCAACTGAACCACCCATTACAAACTTGCAATGTTAGCACTCATTCACACCCTGAAGCGTTCCCTGGCCTCATCCCCTCAATCAACTATTCACACCTTATTTTAAGCAGAACAATAAAAAAGCTGTCTTTTTGAAATAGTTGGTCTGAATTCTTTAACATCACACTCAAAATCCAGGAGACAAATTTAAGGATATCTCAACTCAATTCCCAAAATATTGTTTACAAAGGGGAAAAAAAAGCATGAATATGGAAGTACAGAAGGTGTTAAAGCACCACTAAAAAAATGGACTTGATAAAGAGCCTACACTGGAAACACTTACCTTGTCAAAGCATTAAAATACCCATCTCAGAAGACAATTCAGAGACACTTAGTCAGAATTGTGAAAAAATGCAAACTAGACTGTCATGGATCACCAATACATCTGACCTAAAGGCAGTGCAAAACGGTGCCTGGTGAGGGGGCAACCAGTCATCTTGCTAAGTGAGGGACTTCAAATCACTCATCACTGACCTCCTTAATAATCTGCATTGAAGGACCTGATGAACAGTAGTGAAATTTTTGTCATGCAATTACAACTGTTAAGCAACCAATATGCAACTCAGGAGTGATACTGTCATCCATGGTGGATTATGAAAGTAATAATCCATTAAAGAATAAGGTCAAAGGGGAAAGTGGTAAACATCAGTTTCCATAAGTGAAAACACTTCAAAAATTTACAATTAAATAAAAAGTTAGATGATATCTTATAAAAAGTACGGAACACAAAGCCACAATAAATTAGTGTTTCCATAAAACGACATGCTGAAGGTTTTGTTCCCAAGTCTATACATTTTTTTATGTCTGTTAATTCCTAAATATTGACAGCGTAATTGAATAATTGAGGTACAGTAGTTTACATTTGTATATGTCTTGTAAAAAGGTTAATTCTTTTCTTCCAGTTTTTCTTCCTCATCGCCAAAGAACAACAAAGGAAACATTCCTAAAATGCAGCCAATGGTCACTCCAATAGCTTTACCCTAGAGAAAGGGGGAAAAACATTAAGTTTCTCACTGATCAGTTGTTACTCGTTTGCTGTGTAGTACCAAAACAACCAGGAAAACACACCCTTTGTTCTAGTTTTCAGTTGGGAGACACATTTTTCTTAGCCTGCAGACTAGAAACACAATCTATGAGAGAGAGACAGATATGACAAGGTTAGAAACAGTGTATGCTGTGATAAAAGACAATTCTGAATAAAGAAGAGGGGAATGACCCATGAAGAGCTGCAGGGGTGGTAAGGGAGGAGACAGAGATTCGAAGGATTAAGTAGGATGGCCAGGAAGACAGCGAAGGGGAAAAAAAAAAAAACCCAAACGAAAAGTCAAATCACATTTTAGGTACAATTACAAACGCATACGCTTGCATCTGGTAATGCAAATTATCATCAAGGTCAGGAACAAGGCATTTCTTGGAAACACGAAAATTTGCAAAGGCACAAGGTGAAGACAAGGTAAAAAAAAAAGATTGAAAAACATTTCACAATTGACCTAGATGTAAAAGTCAACAGGAGAGGAAAGAAATAAGAAAGGCAACATCCAAACCACATCACCACCAGCAGATGGATAGTGTTGAGAAACTTGAGACTGTGGGTAAAAAAACAAAGAAAAAAAATGCTAGCATACAGGCTAAGATGCTCAGAAGTCTTTTCACAGAAAAGTCCTGTGAATGAACTGCAGTGGCTTTTGCCACAGACTCAGCTTCCAGTGAGAAAACTCTTACGTTAGAAAGACTAGAGGGCAGCCCCCCAACCACCTGCCAATTCTTCCCCGCTCAACACTTTGCTCTGTCAGTGCTAAACGCAGACTTTCCACCCCCCAGCTTTTCCTCAGTGTTATTCCTTCTCCCTTAAACCTGCAAAGATATTTTTCCCCATGAAGGCTCATTCTGGCAAAGTGAAAGAAATATCTGTTTCTTTGCTCAGTTTCTTATCATCTGTTTCTTTTATCAAAATAAACTAAACACTCTCATTGCTGAAGTGGGACTGCTTCAAGTGTTTAAATGTTAATTAAGTAATCATCCTGAAAATGAATCTGCAAGATTAGTGTCCCATAACTGTAAACCCAGGCAGCAAATATTATTCAAATGCTGAAAGTTCACCCAGGGAAAAGCTGATTTCATATCCAAGCTAATTAAAAAATACTAGAAACGAATACATACTAGCACAGGTATATGAATAACAAGCACTTGGCAAAGATTGTATAGGAGTAAACTACTAAGGGGCCACATAACTTTCAAATAAACTATCTTACCACAGTAGCAAGAGCCCAGCCCAGGTATCTGCAGAACATACACGAGGTCATTGCAGAGACCATCCATGTTACTAGTCATTTGCTGCTTGCTGCATACAAGCCACCACCCAAGCCCGACACAGTCCAGCCTCATGCTGCTGCTCCCTGACACAGGCTCACAATTAAACTTTCCAGGAAATGTGCGAACTGCTGGTGGTCATTCAGTATTTGACAGCAAAATGACAAAAAGGATTTATCACATCTTAGTCTAAACAAAAAAGCTGCATGCAAACAGTGCCTACCTACAGGATACTCACCAAGTGTGCGCTGAGACGCGTTTGCCACATATCAGCTTGTTTGGGTGTCAGATCAGGGATTGACAGACCCAGTCGTGAAGCTAAAGCTTCTACATAACCTGCAAGACTGGAAGAAGAAGAAAACGTGAACGAACAATTTTGGATCTGGCAGTATCTTCTAGCAAGGATTTTGAAATATTTGAAGCACTGAACTTATAACGAATAGCTTTTCCTTCAGCATACTGATAAAGTCATCGAGAGATAAATATGGGAAAGTGTTCAGACTTCTGATGGTCACGTCTTGCAATGTAAGTTAAGCAATTTTCTCACTGTTTTAACAAGCAATATTTTCAGAAAAATGTTATGCAGTTAAGACACAACCTGTGTGAATGTTATTGTATTTTAGCACAGCTTGTAAGTAGCCTTTACTGGAGGAATTGTTCCGCACACACACTAATTAGTAATAAGCTTTATTATTTGCAGAAAAAAGTTAGAGGGAAAGTGGGAAAAAGGAATGACAGATTTTCTTTTATAAAAAAAAGTCAGCTGCATCTGTTTACATCAGAAAGATGTATGCCTAGATCTGAAGATATTTCAGATATATAATAATTGTTTTATCTGAGGAGAAGAAAATGTCTCCAGATCTAAGCATAACAGTATCTGGAGGTATATTAGGTATATTCAATCACAGCGATATATTATATCACAACATTTTTTTTTCCGTTTTGTATTTTAATGAAAAAACTTGTAGAAAAAATTCTAATACTTTCTTACAAGCAAACATTACTTACAGAATACACTGAACACGGTTAAATCCCAATCTCAATTTTATCACTTAAAATAAAGAATACTGTAATAGCAGGAGAATTATTCTGTTTCAGAACTATGGCATTGCAGTTTTAACCTCAACAAGAGCCACCTAATATTTCAACTTCTCCTTAGCAAGGACAGAATACATTTCTACAGTCATGTAGTTTACTGAAGCAGAATTCAAGCGCTAGGAAAAAAAATAAAGCAACTTCAGCAGTGGCTATGTTTTAGTTCAGTAGCACTGACAGTGTTTGCAAAGGAGCAAACAAGAAATACATTATTAAAACAAGTTCAGACATACCCCAGTCCAGCTAAATCTGAAACAAGGTTTCCCAAAGCAGCAGCTGGAGGGATGGAGACGGAAGAGAAAGGAGGAAGAAGACAAAGTATTATTTTAATTACAAACAAAATCAACCAGGTCCCCTCCCCCCTCTGTGACCCCCACTCTTCTCAGTATATATTGCATAAAAAACTAAAAGTAAGTTTCTTTTATTCTAGTGCTTTTCTTCTAACCTTACTACAGCTTGTAACAACAGCAGCAGCCTAATAGTAATAGGAAGTGCAACTATTTTTCTCAACTAACATAAAGAAAACTTGACAAATACAAAAAAAAGCAACACTGGCAGCTGGAAATCAATGTAAAAACTTTTCAGATCAGAGTTAAGAACGGCCACGTATGGTTGCTGCTTTCATACAGCTAATGCTGGACACCAGGCAAGGCCTTCCCATGCCTGAAGAGGCACAGGAGCACTGGAAATAGAAGGAGCTGTTACTCACATACGTAGCTTTGAGAAACACTTCAACATATCCATGAACCGGGTCAGGTTAGGAATAATACACTATGTATGACTGAATAAAGTTACAGACTTAAAATACATGACTTCATGGCAGATCTTATTGAGATAAGTTTGCTTGTGACCGTCTTGCATTGCAACAGAGGGCTGCCAATTTCCAAATGATTAACTTGTTCTGCTACGTACATTTTCATTGAAGCGGTCTGCATGCTTCCCAGCAACACTGCACCTGCAGCTGGTGGACCCATGAGCCCCTTTTTTCCCTCTGACACTGCAGAGACACCAAAGCTGTCGAGCAGAGCTTATCAGTTTTGGCCAGTGCAGGAGCAGGGTGGCTGCTGGGCCCTCCCGTGGTATCGCACGGAGGCAGAGAAGCCACCAAGAACACCGGCCAACACAGCAAAAGGACCCCCACATTGATCTTCACTTTGTGCTGCAAGCAAACAGCTTGCAAATACATGTATACACACATATAAGTATCAGACCCTAGGGAATTTAGAGTAGCCCCATTACAGAAATGGAAATACACTTTCCTAAGTGACCCAGGATTTGAACGTCTTCATTAAAACTGACAAGCATTTCAAAAGCTATTTGAACTGAAATTCCATTTCTGCAAATGGAATGTCCCTGCTTCAACCATAGGTTGTTTCTTTACTAGGAAAGGCAGCTGCAAGACCAAGGAAGCCCTGTGTCTCACGTTCAGCCTGAAACATAAACGTGTGCCATATTAGTCTACACATACTACATTTTTATTACTTGCCTGCCATAGTTGAAATTCCTAGGATAACTCCAATTGACAATTCTATTTGAGTTCCCTGAAAAATAAGAGTTTTCTCATTATTTGAAGGATTTGGAATAAAAATAGATGATACTGATTCAACTGGCAAAAATATTGCTTACTGCTTATGTTAAAATTGAAAGGATAAATAAACAACTACTACGCACAGGTCCTACCCTCCTGGCACATGTATTTCCCCCTAGGACAAGAAACCTATGTCTCAGATATAGTATTTTATATTGTTTCGGAATGGCCACCTAACGGACAAAACCGTAGTCCCTATCTCTGCATACCGTTTTCCCCACTGTAATTCTTAACTGCAGGTACGGTTCTGAATGCAAACTTCTACAAATACTGAGCGAACAAATAAAATGTGGTATTGTAGCTCCTTACTTTTTCAGTTGAAGAAATGTAAAATCACACTGAACTGTATGATGAAACAGCAGTGTGTGGCCCAAGGATGAGAATCAATGGGCATCAATCAAAACAAGATATGTTCCAGTTACAAGAAAGTGTTTTCTACTGTGAGGACTGTCGAGCACTGGCACAGGTTGTCCAGACAGGTTGTGCAGTCTCTGCCCTTGGAGCTTTTCAAGAACCACAGGATAAAATCATGAACAACTTGGTCTGACCTTACAGCTGACCCTACTTTGAGCAGGAGATTAGACTGGAGACCCTGAGAAGGTCCTGAGTAAGACTAGAGACCTAGTGGGTCCTGTGGTCTGTTTCCACCTGAATTACCCCACTATTAAAATCACGCTGTCAATGATAATCCTACATGAGGGGCAATGTCTTTGGCCTTTATCCACCTTCCTGTTCCACTGGCCCATTTCATCTTCCAAATGAACAGGAAAATATCTTGAGCGTTACTCAGAAATGCCAGTCTATATCAGTAGAAATCAGCATCAGCACTAACATTGCCTGCATCACTCAGAACAAAGGAATACATTAGTAAAAACCCTGAAGACCTAATCATCAAGGCATTATAATCACATTATCATCAGTCAGTACAAAAAAATGTATTGACTATATGGTGGTAAATGTGTTTTGCAGCACAAATTAGGAGAGGAAAAGCAAGCAAGCCTCTTCTAAATTCAGTAAAATTAGTTAACAATACCGGCCTTCAGAAGGAACAACACTCCTTTGCATTCTGCAAAAGCTCCATAGAGCATGGACACTCTCTTTAAAAAAAAGAAAAATTGAAGTAGAAATTCGTGAGTTGATACAGAGGGAACGGAAACTTCCTGAAGCTCCCATTTACTCATTTACTACTTGAGCAATATGAATCATGCTGACTTGATCAAGGAATTAAATGATGAACTTACCGCAGCAATCATAATTGCATTATCCAAAAATCCAAACCCTACAAAAGGTAATGCATTGTGGAAGAACACTAAAAGAAATAAGTAACAAAGAGAAAATAAATATTTATAGGAGTTCACTAGTTCACATGAACAACTGAAATGTCAGTCTCATACTGCCTTTAAGAGAAACAAAGACAACATACACAAAATTCCTTTCCTACTACTTCTATTAGTGGCCTTTTTATTTCTGTGAGGTTTGGTAAAACCCTTTGCTATGCATAAGTGTTACTAATCACTTGCGAAGAACCAGTTAAACCAACTTACTCTTTGCAAATACTGATAAAATTTTGGACGGAAGCCCAACAATGCCTACTAGTACATAAGAGAAATATTTTAAACTACACAAACTTTGATACTATTTACAGTCCTTCCAACTGACGTTGCAGTATCACTGAAGATTGCCAAACTGCCTTACCAGATTCTCTGCATTCTTCTCCTGCTCGAAATAAAGCCCTTTCCTCTGCAAGTCCCTCTCTATTCCTGTGCAAGAGCTCCATCTTCTTCACACATTCCTAAAAATTCATATTTTCGGAGCATTGTCTGGAGCTAGGCAATCCTTACCAAAACTCCTTCAGCTAAATCTGCAAATGCAAAGGTGATTTTCACTAGTGTGTCATAGAGCGTTAATTATCTCACTATTCAACCCAAACTTCTGTATCTTGATTTTGTTTGGGCACTATGATGAGGACAAGTTAGACTTGAAGCTGCTCCTCAATACATTAAGAAATTAAGTTCCATCTTTTGTTTCATGCAGTTTTTCTTTTCATTCCTGAAACTCCAAGTAAATCCTATTTGAAAATTTTCTATTGTCCTGTTTCATTTTCTCTCTCAAGTTTTAGCTTGTAAGCTTCTGATAGAGATGAGACTGAATTTGCACAGCATTGCCTCCAGCTCAGTCTCAAGGTACAAGCATTGCAATACCAAATACAGCACCAAGGACAGACTACTTGACTAAAAATAGAGCATAGAAAGTTATATCTTTTCACTTTTTTAACATCTAAAATGCATCAGCTACTTAGGTTTTTTTCTCCACTTCAGATGGAAACAATAATTCCTACATTTATAAACTTAGAGATGCAAACAAATGAAGAGGGAAGAAAGAAGAGTGTATGAACTTCAGGGTCATGTGAAAAGAAACTGGTTTGAGTCCATTTTGGATTTACTTCTTGCAGAGAGCATGAATTCATGATCATATAAAAAAACAAAGCCACACAAGAGATCTTTCATGCTCAGGTACTAGAAAATGTTTGGACTTCTGTAACTATTTTGTAAGAACATACATACCTTCTTAAATGCACAGGTAAAAGACTAAAGCACAGAATGTATGAAATTTTCCTTTTTTTTTTTTTTTTAACTACCACAGAACAAAACCCCAAAAAACCATAAATAATAAAAAAGCACACAGAGATGCCCAGTATTTTCAAAATGTATGTACCAAACTCTGGAGCTACAAAGGAAGCTCAAATTCTTAACAAAATTGACAGAATTTTGGAATCCATGGAGTAAACAGAAGCCCAGCGATCAACAACAACAACAAAAAAAAACCCAAAGGAAAATAAGTGTAGATACCTACAATGGGAAAATGTATGTTCAATTAAATACGTGTGCTCACTGGGAGTATAAAACCACAGAAATCCACTGATTTGGAAACAAAATCAGAATTTGAATGACCATGGTATTACAAAGAATACCAAATCTATTTGCAGTTTCTTTGCAATTTTATCCCACTTCTCAGTCCACTTAAAATATAGGCAACTAGAAGCAAGAAAATTCTTAAACACAAAAAACCGCACAAGGTGCTGCAGCATCAACACTACTTGGCTTAGAAAAATGTTTGCTGCTGGCTTTGAACAGCACACTCTCGTTTGGGCTTTCTGTCCTACTTTCACTAAATGGGGCACATTCTCCAGCTGAGGTGTTATGAAATAAAGACGGCAGGATGACTGTTGGTGCTTGCTTTGGTTTTCTGTTACTCCATATGACAAGGGATAAGGACAGACCAGCACTTGCAGGAGAAAGATGAAGCAATTCAAAGACAGACTGCACAAATACTGAACCACATCCAACAAACAGTCTTCTTTTACCATGTTTCAGTTGTCCCGGAGATGGTGGTGCAACCTCCAACTTCTCTAGAGAAGTCAAAATGAAATGAGAAAGTTAGCATCTCATCACAAATGCAGTTTATTACATTATTATATTTACCAAATTATTAGCAGGTAAAAAAAATGGTTATGTCATCTAACAGCTTTAAAATTTGGAGAAAAATGCTTCACATCTACATTTTTATTATTTGTACAAAAGATAATATGATATTATAAGCCAAAAGTCTTAGAATGATATTACAAGATTAAACTAGTATAAGTGATTATGCAAAGCAACAGCATATATTAGAAGCAGCCCAACAGCCTTCTTTATTACTGCAAATTAGAACAACACACTGAAATTAGAAAAACCAGGACATCTAAAGATAATTATATTTTATTATTTGTTTTTAGAGGTCCTCTAAGCATGCAGCAGACAACCTTCTTTCCTCCAGAGACAGTCTGCAAAAAAACCCCAACCGTTTCTGTTTTGACAGAAGCCATCTTTTAATAGCTAGTATAAGAATAAAAGAAAACACTACGATGACATTAGAGACCACCGATCTCAGTAAGCGCAGAGCATGTTTGGTCATTTGGTGCACGTTTCAGGTATTCTGGCATCAAACCACTAAGAGCTTGGAAGAACAAGGACGTCACTCCTGAACCTGACAGACTACTCTATAGGAAGCCAAGGCAGTATATTAGAAGTGATGCATGCAACACAGCAGCAACAGCTACCCATTTCACAGGGACAAGGGAAAGAAAACAGACTATTTTTAAGTTTTGGGGTGGGTATTTTTGGTTTCTGTTTGTTGGGTTTTTTTTAATGTGGATTTTGAGCGTAAGACTCCTTTTTAAAGCAGAAAACAAAAGTTGCCCCAGTATCTTCCAGTGTTATGAACCCTGAGCTTTTGACAAGTTGCTTCCATACTTTTTGGTTAGGCAACTTCTATAGGCAAAGGTAAAAAATGGTAGAACATGATAGGTGCCTACAACTGTACCTCAAGTATTCAAATTTTACTTAGGGCAGTACACGAAAAGACAGCGCTGCAAACACAGGCTGTGAATCACTTGAGCGTGTGTCTGAACCGTGCAGACTAGAGTGGGTATCCTTGCATCCAAGTCACTCCTATGTTCAAAGCCACTGTAAAGGAGAAACTAAAATATTTACTTATATTAACTTGGGGGGGGGGGGGGGGGTGAAGGTG